CATGGTTTGATTGTCATCGCCAGTTCTTGCCAATGGACCATGAGTTTAGAAAGATGAAAAATGCATTTAGAAAAAATAAGGTCCATTACTCATAGGGCATCAAATTTGGGAGAGAGTTTCTCAATTACCTAAAGTTACAGAAGTTTCACCTTTTAGACTTCCTGGATATGGTGTTGAACATAATTGGACCAAACAAAGCATATTTTGAAAGTTGTCGTTTTGGAAGGACAATCTGCTACGACATAATCTTGATTGATGCACATTGAAAAAAAATTATTTTGACAATTTGTTTAACACAGTGATGGATGTTAAGGGTAAGACAAAAGACAATCTAAAAGCTAGAATGGACATAAAGGAATATTGTTGGAGAAAAGAGTTATGGCTACAGGAATTACAGAATGGCAAAATAGTTAAGCCCAAAGCCAGCTTTTCATTCACATTGGATGAGAAACGTGAAATTATTGAATGGGTAAAAAATTTGAGGATGCCGGAGGGCTATGCTTCAAATTTAGGAAAGCGGGCAGATATGAATGAAGGAAAATTGATAGGTATGAAAAGTCATGATTGTCATGTGTTCATGGAAACTTTAATCCTATCGCTTTTAGCCATCTACCCGAAAGGATATGGAAACCAATCACAGAGATAAGTCTTTTTTTAAAAGATTTGTGTTCTGGAAAGTTGTTGGAGAGTAGTTTAGACAGGATGGAGGAAAATATTCTTGTTACTACTACTAAGTTGGAGAAGATATTTCCATGTGGCTTCTTTGATGTGATGGAGCATCTTCCAATTCACCTTGTACAAGAGGCCCGCTTCGGAGGTCCGGTTCAAACAAGATGAATGTATCCATTTGAGAGGTATCCATTTCAAATATTCACTAAGTTATATATATTCGCCAAGTCTTTTATATATATACATATATATATACATATATACATGCATAAAAATTGGTAGTTCGAAGCAAACGATTAAGCAACGGGGAAGGATCGAAGGATCATTTGTTCAAGGTCATATTGGGAGAGAAAATGGTGATTTTTATTCTTACTACTTTGGTAATGATGTGTCATATAGGAGAAACAGGCCCAATCGCAATGATGAAGACGATATTGATCCTTTATTTCCACCGATATCAATTTTTAATCAAAATGATCGAGGATCTAAAAAGCGTGGAAAGCGAGGCTTCACTGATATGGAAATGCAATCAGCTGTGACACATATTTTGCTTAATTGTCCAGAGATTCAACCATACGTCAAGTAAGTGTTAAAAATATGTTATTAAATTACATACTAATAAGTGATCATTAACTAACGAAATACTTGAATGTAAAATGATCAGCTTGTTCATAAACACATGGGGTAATGAAACCATCTATACAGAATTTTCCAAATGGCTGAGGAACTATGTAAGTGTGCAATCACTAAGTATTTAATAATATATTCATGTTATACTAAATTATATTACTTGAAATAACAATCACGTAGGTTTACGATGAATACTCAAGTGTCCAACATTTGCAATTAGTGAAAGAAGTAGCACTTGGACCTGAATCTCAAGTACTGACAATGAATAAGTATTGTGTCAATGGTTTTAAGTTTCAAACTGAAGAAGTATCTAGGAACAAGAAAACAAATAATAGCGGT